CTCATCCTTTTGTTTCTTCTCTGTAGAAAAGCGTGTTTCTGCATCTGTACAACCTAACATTATGCTTAGCCTTCTAGATGTTGAAATATTTTAAAGTAGTTTGTTTAATTCTCGACATCTCTTATATGCAGTAGCCAATTGTGCACAAGTGTTTTTATTAACCTAAATCTTTTAAGCTGTTTGATGGTGATCTCCCATTGAAGGCTGTTAAGTTGGAATAATTGCTAGCCTTCTTTCAAATCATGCATACTCTTATTTTTTTTATTTTGTTTTAATCATGTTTACTAAATAGTTGTCTACCATGCTAATTCCTTTTATGGCTGTAATTATCTGTAAGTTGAAGCTTGTTCTTTAGTCTGATTTTGATTGGCGTGACTAGTAAAATTCTTCCATTTTTGCAGGGTTGGAGGACAAGTTGTCAACATCCCTTCTTGGTGAAGTTGGAGAGCGCAAAACACATTGATTTCTCTCTTGCTAGTCCTTTTGGCGTCGGTAAAGAAGTAAGAGTTGGGAGAACGAACAATGATAAGAAGAAGGATGGTGATGCTGAAGGGGAGGAAGAGGACTAAATCAATCTTTCCTTGTGAGCAATATTATACCAGTGCTAGGCATATATTAGTCCTTAATTTTTTGAACCTAATTGCTATAAGATTTTTACGTTCTAGGTTTAAATCGAGTTTTTTAGCAATGATTTTGGATTTGTTCGACTATAGTCACTTTGTATTCGTATATTCTGTTCATTGTGTCGGTTTCATTTAGTACAACCTGAATGTCCTATCCATTACTGGTTGAATCTTGATTAGTAAACAGAAGAAGTATTCGATTATCTTGGTAAAGGAAATTTCCGGTGAGCTTTTATCATCACTGTTTGTGATTTGAGAGTATCTTGATCTTTTGCTTTTCGAAACATATTCTTCTCAATCTACCTGAAGTTGCTTGCTTTCGCCTTACTGCTGTGGATTTGTAGTTTCATATCTTAAATCCTGTTCTTCCTTTATACCTTTTTGTTGTTTTCATTATTAATGCGTATTTTCCATTTTGGCATTTTCTAATATTTTTCTTGTTGATTTATGTTTATATCTTGGCAAAATTTTTGTGTTCGTAAATCTTTTTCATCATAAAACTTGTATTTCCCTTTATTTGAGCTTTTTTTTACATCTTATAGAACTTTTATAAGTTGGACAGTTAACTTCAAGTTGATTTATTCTTCTTTTCTGTTTGATTTCCATAATGCAAAATGTCTGCATGATAATACTGTTTACCGAATCTCTTCGCTGTAATCTCTGCAAACTCTTGTGTTGCTGCTGAGTCAAGTTGCGTTAATGGTGTATCGAAGTGAAGTTAACCATTGGATCATCGCTCGAATCTTGAGATCTGCCAATCCAACAAAATTTAAGGCTATGCGTTGAGAGCACTGAATATTTTCTTGTTATGGATTTCTACTGACACTTATGTACGTCTTTGAGTCAACTATTGCGGCTCTTTTCCTGTTTATTATTGTCCAGTATATACTCTTATAGTCTTATGTAATAGTCAGAAAGCTCAGGATCAGAGCCTGTACATTTGCAAGATCCAGAATTAGTGGTTATGGGGGTCTACAGTCTGAGACTTTTTATCATCAGCATGGAGTTTGGACCTCGAAACTGAAGCGCGTAGATCTTCAACTTACTGAATCATAGATTAAAGAGCCAACTTGCCGTCCATTATGGCTGCCAATGGTTTGGATTGACGAGGATGATGGTGATGGTGATGTTGATGGTGTGTTCAGATATGGAGCCCCCTTTTGATGCTGACACCCCCCTCATTCTCCCTTGTTACACTACACAATTTGTGGTGTGCTTTGTCTCTCTTGGGATCTATGTTGGTAGTATCTTAGAGTTTACAGGCCTATCCAAGATATCTTAGGACCTATTTGGGGCAACTCTGAACTCTCTCATTAACCCAGTTGGTGGAACCACAACCTGGTTAAGGGCTAAAAATCTTCTTTGACAAAAACCCATTAAGGAGTAAACCGTGGCAGGCGGTTGAGAGCTAAATTGATTTAGGCCAAAACTATTTGTTGATGGCTGATATCAAACAGTCAAATGGAACAAGTGATTAAGTTGACGGAAGTCCTCTAACTCTCTGAATGTCGGTTCTGGAGCAGATTGTTCTTCCCCGCACAAGTAGCAAATCGTAAGAGGACGGGGTTGGGTTCCGCGGTTGTTCCTCCGACGACCAAGTATGTGATTTGTTTGAGTGGAGAAGTAAAATGAACTGCAGTAGTTCTTAAGCACAGTAGGTAGAGGCAAAGATTTTTTTTCCTAATAATACTCCTATTTATAGTGGTGGTAGAAGGGTAAAACAATAACTTTTGCTGAGTACGGGATGACGACCACGTCAACATCTACTTGCTTTGCAGACGAGTGGGGGAGATGTCACCTCAGTATTTAATGCGAGGTGATTGGGACGTGCGGTGTCGACGTGGTCCAATGTGTCATAAAGACTATTGGGGGCGGAAGAATGATGGCACCCATAATGCATTTAATGGAATCTATTGCGAGGTGATTGGCTGTCAGTGCGCGGGGAGGGGCTCGAGGCTCGAGGAATTTCGTCATCTTGTACTTGTCCAGTGGTCGAGAAGTACCTCCATTTGAGTCACCTTCGCAAGATGTCGGCCGGTCGAGTAGTTCGATCAGGGAGCCGACTCAGCCAGGGATCGACATGCAATGCCATTTGAGTCGCCCTCACGAGATGTTGGCGTGTCGAGTCGTTCGAGCTGGGTCTTGGGTTATTTTGAAATGCTGGTTCGATTACGCATAATGTGTGGCACTTGTCTTCCCTTGATTGGTGATTACTTTTCAGCACTAGAATGACTATAACACTATTTAAGCGGCATTTGCGAAAATGACCCCTATGATCTATGTCATGAAGTTAGAGGTATTACGTCAGTTCTGGTTCCAACTATTTCACATTAAGTAGAGTTGTGACTTGCTCATCTGTTGCTATGTAGAAAAAAGGTGTCATACAAATTTCTAGTTCACTTTTACCTCTCGATCTCTTGGTATTCCCATCTCTATAAATCAGTTACTATTTGATGTCAATAAAGTTTTAAGGCCCAAACATTTTCTTTGAAAAACTGATCCTTAGATGCTTTGGTTTGATCTTGGAGGTAATGGATGGGATATGTGTTTGTAAAATGGATTCACCTTTTAGCAACTACTGCAGTTAAAACACAGCCGTATAGAGCTTGACACGCGTATCGTCTTATGCAGATTTTACTTCACTGAAACGAAAACCAAGGTCAACATCAAAGTTAATTTTCAGATAAGAAACAATGAGCTACAGTCGTAACATAATAACAACCAAAAAAGCCTATTCTCTCTTAAAGCGAAGAGATTTTTCAAAATCCTGGTAGGGCCAATGTGTCCTCCACAAAATCTTTATTATGAACGAGTAGAGACTTGGTCCTTGATTATACACTCAGATACCCATTATAAAACTCTTGGATTTTCATTTTTAAACATCTTGTTCAATATATATTTATCTTTGGGTTAATTGCAAATATATAGACCCCTTAATATTTCGCTCAATCACGAAAAGAACTTCCGTAGATTTATTTGTGTGGACGTATCCCCGAGCGAAACAATGTAGCTCAATCACGTGGTTTTAAATTAAACTTTTAAAAGAGTAGAAGAAGAAGTTCACTAAGGAGATGTATTCAAGCCGGTTCCTGATTGCTTGACACCACTGAGTGTCTATTAGAACTACATGGAGGCTATTCGTAATTGGTCGATGCTACAGGGGTCTATCCGTAACTAACCTTTTCCATGATTCTCTCCACAAGTTAGGTGTGGACTTGGGTAGCTTCATGATGGGCCATCCTCCTGGGTTGAATGAGGGATGTCAGAGCCTGCTTGTGTACCTTCTCGAATGAACAAAATCATGCATGCGTTCACTTTTTTTTTTTAACTGCAATGAGAGCCTCAGCTTTGCATGTCAAAAAGTAAGAATTATTTACACGATCTTTTATGCATGCTGACCCCCATTTTTTGTTGCGTTTGAACTTTTTAACATTTAAGTTGTGGAGCTCCTTATCATGTCAGCAGACAGCCACAGGACTCCTGTGCACTCGTTTTGTTGGCACCGTATACGATCCTTGTTTCTGCGATGTTCTCGTTTCCGCTACGTTTTAAATGGAAAGAACTTCAATCGGTACGATTTTCCGGTTTGTTGAGGGGATTAAAAGGCGAGATTCGCAGAAAATCTTAATGTAAGGAGGAGTTAGCTAGGAACAGCCAGCTATTAAGAACAGAGCTAGGATTAGAATTCCCAGGGCTGCCACCAAGTTGGAGCTCCAGGAAATAGCGAAGAAGAAAAACGTTGACGTTGCAGGGGATAACTTCTAGAGAGACTGTCGGCCTCACCCTCCATCAGTAGGCAAAGTTCCTGTCTTCACCTTCTTTTTGTATCGGTCACAGTGTTAAGTCTTTAGTGTACGTTTTGTTCTTCTAGTTCCTTCAAACACTATGTTTTGGGTTTTCCTTTTGACAGTCTCCCTGTAATATAGTAGTTTTATCTGTTGTGGGGGACGAATCATTGGCTTCTTATTCTGATAGGCGACGACAAGGTCCGCTCCCTATCGTACACAATTAGTCACATGTTTTCTCTCTACACCTTTTGTTCAGTTTGTATTATTACGGTTTCGTAATCTTATACATATTATGAACAGGGAATCTCACCCTGTTTTTTTAGCTAAAAAAAAAAAAACAGAGCTAGGATTTTCTTTTATATGGAGCACAATAAGTTACAATCCCCTAAAGCGTGACATAAAAAGTTGTACGCTCTTTTAAAGTTTCTAATTACGCATAATTAGAAACTTCGCCAATGTTGCGCTTTAATGTTTATCTTTTTTGCGTAATATTTGTCTCAATTCAGCTTAATTAGTCGGATCTACATGATATGAATACAATGTTACTCAAAGCTTGAAGGCAGGGTATAGTGTAGGAGAGAATGCGGCATTAGCAACAAAACATTATTCGATAATTAGCATATACCACTTAAAAAACAAAAAAGACAGTCTAATCCCACGATTCAGCTCTCTCTCTCTCTCTCTCTCTCTCTCTCTCTCTCTCTCTCGTTAGGAGCGTACAAGTCAACTCCAATAATCTTTAGACTCCTAAACATAGTCAAATCTTATGCATTCGTCCATCCTCCTAAGTTTAGTACTATTATAACCAAGGTACTAATTAATTAAGAGAGCTTCTTCATTAAGATCTAAGCAGGCTCCTTATGATCTCAGCCTGCTCACTATTACTGTCCATTGTGTTCATGAGCTCCGACAGCCTGTCGCTGAGGTCATCCACCTCCCTCCTCAAACTCTTTATATAACTGCAGGTCTCCTTCAACAGTTTCGACGCGGATGCCTGCAGTTAATAAGCCAGGGATGAGGAATTTTGCGACGTACGTACGTACGTTGAGCTTAGTATACATGCATATATATGATTTGGGTTCGGATGAAGAAATACGCTTACTCTGCCGGAGTTCCTTCGGCGGGCCTCTGGCAGGACTGACTGGAGCTTGGAGATGAGCTCGTTGATCTCTTCGTCGCTGATGCGGGCACCTCTTCGGCTAGACATTCCTCTTTCCTCTTCGCTTGGGGGTGGGTGGGGGGGAGGAGATCGAGCTGGAGGTTGAGAGGGAAGGGAGTGTTGAATTTATAACAGAGGGGACGGTGGAGGGGTTTTGGGGGTGAATGGCTTGAAAAAATAGTTTGGACGGAGGGAGCTTTTATTGACGTGTAGTAGGGTTAAATTAGTTACACACCCTTGTTTCGTAGGGAGACTTTTTTATTAGCACTTATATTCCTTAATATCCACAACAATTTTGCTTTTTATTTAATGTATGATGTGCCCGTATATATGTGGATGTAAGCAACGGCAACGTGTTGGAGACAGGTCCTGTGCCAAATTCACAGAGAGATCGAGTACAATGAAATAAGACATTTTTAAAAATAATATGTAAATAACCTCCTACTCTCTTTGTGAGTACGTGACTCATATGACACATTTTTTCATATGTACGTATATGCTCCGGTAAAATTCGTACTCTACGCCTACCTCTACGATTAACCCTAAGAACTAAATGGGCTCCACTTGTTACCCCCTCCGTACCCGAATGGTGGTCCCGCTCTGTTCATCTTGGCCCATTGGGCTCACCCGGTAAATGGAGCCCATGGAAATCTTTTTGGGTCCAAGATACTGTTGGTTTATTAATTTTGGGTCCTCTGAAAGATCCCTCTTGGGCTACAGTATACAGTGCGCGGTACATTTCATCAGGGACTGGAAGCTGGCATCAATTGCCGTTGGAAGTTAAAAAGGTGGGCCGGATTTTAAGGTTCTATCAAGCGGAGGACCCCCGATAAATTTCGTCACGCACGAGAAAAACTACCCCCTCTACACGATGTTACATGTTAAATATTATTATAGCTATTTTACGTTGTACCCAAAAGATGCCTCGTGTCCCTTGTGTGTTCTGAGTGAGGACTGCGTCCCTTGTCCTTTTTCGTGTCCATTGTTTCCTTAAACCAAGTCCGATGGAAGTCTAAATTAAGGGATTAGAACACTAATTATTAAGCGGAGTCAAAGAGAGAGGGGGGAGAGATTAAGAAGCTTACTTTGGGATGTAACCCCTTAATTTGGCTTCATTTGCCAGCAACGCATCACGAGATCTGTCGTGTCTCGCTTCAGCTTCCGACATGTGGCGGCCCCATCGAACGATGCGAGTCGGTTGGCCCGATGGGTCTGGTCCACCTGTAGGACCGATGGCTTAAGTCGTGGCCCATGGGCCCATTAGGCCTGTCGAGGTAATCAGATACATGTGCCTTTACAACGGAGAGCGATCTCGTAATGAATAGTGGTAACTACGCAATTATTTATACTATACAAGAGAAAATTGTGGGGTCCGTTTTCTTAAAACATTTTAAAATTGATGACTCATCAATGTGAGCTCAGAGTTCTCTCTCTTATGGTGTAGCAGTACTGTAGGAGAGAATAATATAATTAGGGAAAAGTGTTACTAAGGTGACGACTTAAATAATTATCTAAGGACACGGTCTAAAATCACATGATCGAGCTACATTATGGATGATCCGCTCCGTTGAACTTGATCTACATATTCTAAAACCCCAACACACCAAGTTTTGGGTGAACTCATCGTCGTTTGACTCTCCGTCGAGCTATGTGAAAAGTTCTATTCATTCGAAACCGTTAAAGTTGATACGAGTGGATGAAGGGTCAAACGGCGACGGGTTCACCCCAAACTTAGTGTGTTGGGGTTTTAGAATATGTAGATCAAGTTTAACGGAGCGGATCATCCATAATGTAGCTCAATCATGTGATTTTAGTCCGCGTCCTTAGATGATTACCTAAGGCGTCACCTTAGGAACACTTCTCCCATATAGTTATCATTATTCCTCTGGTAATATTTTAGCATTATAAAGGGTCTCGTGAAATCTCATCGACGCTAATTAAAATATAATTATGCTATATTTCAATTGGTCAGTTCAAGGCGCCTTGGTCGATTATGGTGGCCAATGGGCCTTTGCACGGTCATCGTCACGGATCTCGGGGAATCAAGAACTTTTGGAAGGAGAAGTGCAATTGTAGTTTGTGGTAGGGGAAGGGTGACCATTCCCCTAATGCTTCAAGAGGAAAAGAGCCCTAGATTTGTGATGTGAGTGTGAAGTGTTTGGGAGAGGATATGAAAGGGTCCCCTTCATCAAAGGACAAGGGTTTGAATACATGTGATTTATGTCACAAATGGAGTACCATTTGAGTAGGCAAACCAAGATGCCTGCTTGCAAGTGGAAAGATTTGCAAATTCCAAGTGAAACATTGAGTTACCTCTAGGAGAGGGCAACATTTCCTTGTGTGACGTTGAGGACATGGACATTAAGTCACTAAAGCCTATTTGAGGGGTATCTAGTTCGTCAATAGGGTTTGCTAGACACGGGCTATAATGATTTTGTGCGCCCACATGAGCTTTTTATCTCCATGCTTTTATGAGGCTAACCGGCCGTAGGAGGATGAGAATGGCTGTTGAGGGAGTTAGGGAAGAGGCTATAGAAAGGCGGGAAAAAAGAACTAGAAAAAAAAGGACACTAAGGGCCTGTTTGGATTTGTAGGGGGTGAAAGGAAGTTAAGGGAAACTGAGTGAAGGGAAGGGAAGAGAAGGGAAGGGAAAGGAATTCCCTTCCCCTTGGTTACACCCCAATTTTGGGGGTAACAATTTTTATACTATTAGGGGGTGAACCAAGGTTCCCTTCCCCTTGGTTACACCCCAATTTTGGGGGTAACAATTTTTATACTATTAGGGGGTGAACCAAGGGGAACTAGGGTGAATTAACTTCACCTCCTAAGTGTTCCCAAACAAGGTGAATGGAGGTGAATGGTTCCCCTAACTTCCCTTCACCATCATTCCCTTCAATCCAAACAAGCCCTAAAACTAATTGATCTACATATCAAATAAGCACACTAATATTATATTAGGTGAAGACCAATGATCTTACTTTTAAAAGCTTTGCAAGGAATTGAAAAATGCAACACTGTTGAGCATCACCCCCCCTTGACCTTTTCAACAATATCCCAAGCCATTGAGATGGTGAGCCTAATGATGTAGACTCCAATGTTGGCATATGATTTGTTTAGCAAGCTAGAAACAAATAAATGAAAACCAAATACTTCATTTTGGTATGATGATGTGGGCACTAGTTTTTGGCATATTGATTTGCTCATCTATACTACTTATAAAAGAGAATACCCATATTAAAACTTTTGATTTTCTTTTTTGCCCCCTCAAATTTTGATAATTTATAATTATACCATTACTTTTAAATAATGTTAGCTAATTATCCATAACATCTTATTAATTAAGACCTCCTTGCTTTACCACATATTGAGGTATTCATTAAAATATAATTAATATAAATAACTTTACAATGATAATTTTTTTATAAAATATGTTATAATTTATTATAGATAGATAATTATTGATTATAACAAAATCATATAAAATTATTAGTGTAATAAAATATTTTGTAACATAACTATACATAATTTAATAAATAATAAATTATTAAAATTTTAAATGTCCATTTATAAATTATAATAAAATAGTACGTTGTCAAATATTCTTAAAAATATGACATTCACTACTTATAAATATGTTATTAAATTGTTAGATGCCATTTATAAATTATAACAAAATAATAAAATATTATTATAAATAAAACAACACACTATTAAATATTCTTAAAAAGTATATTATCATTCAATAGATAATAAAATAAATTTGTATAAATATTTTATAGTAAAATAATATAATTATTTTAATATTATAACATAACTAAGAATTACACTATTATTTAATATATTATAGTGAATAATAGTTCTATAATTATACTATATATAGATATTATAAATAAGAATAGTTATAAATAGCATATAATTTATTATACTTATTCTAAGTTACAAATAAAAATATTATATTATATATTATAGTATTAAATAATTATTTATTTTTTTATAAGTATTTAACTAAATTATGAATAAATCATAGTCCCTTTAACAACACGAGTTCGGGAAAAGCTTTTCATGTTCAATGTTATTCTTCACTATTTTGAAAATTTCATTTAAATCTTATTTTATCCTAATTCAAATTATATCTTATACTAATCCCACGTGAACTACGTATAGCTCAACAATTTAATAAGTTTATTATCCATTTTCAGCATCTAAAAGTATTTTAAATTGATGGTGGTAAAAAATAGCAATAACAATAGATTAAAAATACCCAGTTAAGGAATAAAAATTTAAAAATATATAATAGATAAAAATCAACGTCGCTGTATAAATTAAATGAATTGCATATAATTTTACTAATAATATTAATTCATAGAAGACTATATTATATAAAACTGATAAAAAACTAATATAATAGCTTAGCACTAATTGATGATAATGTCTAAACATTAATGTTTGATTTTAATAATATTTATAGGGTAAAAAATACAAGGAGTTATGTATAGAAAAACTATTAGAAAGTTTAGAGATATCCTTCAAAAGAATCAAGATGTTTTCATTTCAAATGGAGAAGTGAAGAAAATAAATCCAAAATTCAGAAATGTTCATGTATCACTTTAATTGACATTGACAAAAGCCATATATGTCAAAGAAGCATCGATTGAATTCCTCTTGATGAGCATATTGAACAACTTTAACCTAATCAAATAAGCATTCTCCATGAAAGATACAAGAAAAATTACTAAGTTTTTATAAATTTTCATATCTTATTCTTCAAATACTAAAGCAATCATAAAGGTAATATAAAATTACATCTATGAAAATCTTATAGTAGAAACTAAACTGAAGCCACTGATCAACTATGTTACGAGATATAACAAGACAGATAACAGGAGGTAAATCCTTATAATGGGCAAAAGGTGTACACATGATACTTATTTACAATAACATAAGTTAAAAAAAAATTAAAATTGACATTTTTCTTTTTCCTATATACTGGCATGACTCGGTGTGTAATTTTATTTGGGGATATGACTATCAACAAAGGATCAATTCTTGAAGACATGATCAAAGATAAGAATGTAATAGCACCATCAGGTTTCTATCCTTTTTTCATGAAATAAACATATCAAAAATTAAATAGTAATATTATAATCTATGGTAAATCGACAATAAAAAATATA